CAGGCAGATAGGGATCAAATATCACCTTTATTGCTAGAAAGCTACTGGAGAATTTAGATTAGGTGTGGGGGCCGAATGCGCTTGCTAGCAATTTTTGTCCTCCCCTCTCCAGTCTAGACTTTGAGACAGCATGCTCGAGACAAAGTCTGTCCAAGATAATTACACCTTACTGGTCTGGGGTACAGAAGAGGCTGATTCTCACAGCTTATTGCTTTTTGATTAATTAGCTCTCCTCCAATCAAGCAAAACAGACCCAAGGCAATCACGCTCCCACAAGGTAACTCACTCCTCCATGGAAAAATGTAATAGAAAAGTGTTTCAAACACTTGAGTGTTTCTTTAGGGAAGTCCTGCCCCCTGGATATAGGGTGAGTGGGCAGTAATTGTTCCTCCCCTAAAAAGGCTGCTAGTATGAAATTTACACATTCTGTAAATTTGAAAGTACTTAAAAGGTTTATTAATTCTGATTAAAAAAATTAAATCCAGCGTTTTATAAGCACATGCACTTAATCATAGCTTTTCTTCTATTAACCAAGTTTCAGCATTCACTTGAATGTAAGGATACAGTTATAAAAATTTTTTATAAGAGAAAGAAGCACATTTTCTAGCTCTATTAATAGGAATCTGTAATGAATGACTGGCACCAGGCAGACTACTCTGACGTCATCAGAAAATAAACACTGCAAAATTTAAAATAACTTAGCTTGCATAATTTCAATTAATGGATTTTTAAAAAATGAATATAAAGTATTTATTTTTGGCTAGAATACTATAGAAAGTATAAGGAAAGTCATGGCCCCAATAAATAATAAAAAAAAAACTACAGAGTTGCCATTGACCCCACAAGAAATACAGGTGTCCAAGGAGCATGACCTATTAGAGGAAATGTAAGTACTAATGAAAAATATTTAGTAGTTACTAAAGAAAGATATTTCAGAATGTAGTTACTAAAGAAAGAGATTTCAGAATGTAGTTACTAATGAAAGATATTTCAATAACACACATCTTTTTTCCTATACTCCTCTAATATTCCATCCTATGTCCTCTGAAAAGAAGCACTATCCAAGTTGGAATGCCCTATGAACAATTAAAGTCATTCTAAAAATACACCAAACCTCCCATATGTCACCTCTATATATCCCTCTCCTAAAGACTTCTGGAATCCCTTCCAAAGCTTCTAGAACCAATTTGAAATCTAGGAATACATGGAAAGGGGTTCCTTCATTGTATAAGGCCTGAAAAAGGTCATATATAAATATAACCTACTGAGTAAAAATTAAGCAACTACTCCTTCAGAGAATTACTTTTTAGTTTTAGTTACCAAGTTTATATTTTATTATTCAATAAAAATTTAAGGGTCTACTATATGCCTAACTATGAAGTAAATAATTAAAGAAGATGCCATTTGTCCTAAAACTGAGGCAACTAACTTGCCCAAGATCATGAGTCAGAAAGTGGCCTGATCCAAATTCTTAAAGTCCTCGATTATTCCAATTACAGAGTTTAGGGAGTGGCTGAGCTATCCTAGACCTGGGGGACGGGATAAAATGAATGCCTCACTCGGTCACTCTCATCTCTGACTTCTAGTTTGGGGTATGAATATAATTTTTTACATTAATTGTCTCCAATTCTTCCCCTTCCTTCTCTCCTGAACCCAATCTAACCAGACTATTCATTTCACCACTCCGCTGAAACAGCTCTTGATGAGGTAGCCAATGACCTCCACAGTTAGGTTCAACAGCCAATTCTCAGAACTCATCTTATTTGAATTATCATCATTTAACCCAGCTGATCACTCCTTTTTAAAATACTTCTTCCCTTAACTTGAAAGAGGCCATCTTTTCTTAGTTTGCCTCCTACTTCACTAGCTGTTCCTTTTCCATCTCCTTTGCTGGTTCCTCATCTGCCTGACTCTTAAAACTTAGAATCTCCAAGGTTTACCTCCCAGGCCTCTCTTTCCTCTTTTTACATTCGCTCCCCTGGTGAGTGTACCCAGTTCTGTGGCTTCAAATATCAGTCTAAGTGTCAGGAACTCCCAAATTTATATCTCCAGTCCAAAACTTTCTCCATATAACGCCAGACTTACATAACCAACTGCCTATATGCCAGCTCTACCTGAATGTTTAATAGACACCTCAAATTTAGCAGGACCCAAACCAAATTCCTGATTTCCCCCTGACCAAACCTGCTTCTAGTCCAGGCTTCCCCATCTTAGTAAATGGCAACTACAGTTACACAGTATTTATTCAGTTACTCAGACCAGAAGCATTAGAATTATCCTCAATTTTTAATTTCTCATATCCCAAATTCAAACAATCAGTAAAATCCTCCCATCTCTATGTTCCAATTAAATCCAGAAGCTGACCACTTTGCACCACCCAGGTGCAATCTACATTCTACACCATAATTATCCCTCTAAGTAACTAATGACGTATTGCGCTGTCGGAAAAGTCATGCCGTGTTTTTTGTTTCTCATTGCAAAAATGCGTCATGACTTTTCCAACAACCCAATACATGCAGGCGATCCCCAACACAACAAAGTGATTGTTTTGAAATTTAAGTCAAATCATGTACCTCTTCTGCTCAACACCCTGCCCTTGCAACGAGATCCCCAACTTACTTATAAGCAATAGCCAAATCCTTAGATTTGTCTTACAAAGCAGTACAAGATCTTCCAGACCCCATGACTCTGATCTCCCCCTCCTGTTACTGTCCTGGTTCATCCTGCCCCAGTCACACCTGTTGCCTTGCTATTCCTCAAACACTACGCAAGCTCCTGCCTCATGGCTCACTCCCTTACTTCCTTCAGGGGCCTTCTTTGACTACCTGACATTTATATTTACTTGTTTGGTTGCTTCCTATCTGTTTCCCTCTACTATCAATAAGATATGAGTTTGGTGAGGCTAGAGGTTTTGTTTTATATACTGGGCAGCTCTCCGTGTTTAAAAATTTAGTAGGTGCCAAATAAATCTCTGTTGGATGAACAACAACAAAACTGATGAGTGCATAGAGCCAAGTCACCACTTTGAGTAACCTACCTAACTTTGTCCTGTTCCTCATGTCTGATAGTTACCGAGATTGGTTGGCCCTCGCCTGAAAATTACACACTAAGTAATAAGAGCTGCACTTTTCTCTACCCAATTTCTGGTTCCCTGAAAGTCTTCCAAGAAAGCTGAGATTCAGTGTAATGTAAAGAACTTGAATCAGTTTCTCTGCTTAGGTAAAATAAAATTTCTTCTGCCATCCTTTCCAATTTTAACACTGCTGGGCAGAGAAACACAGATAAAAACAATTTTCTGGATCCTTCTTTTCAAATTCTACCTCAACACAGAATCTTCTCAATTATCTATGCTTCTTTATTTTCCCATCTTTGCCCATATAGTTAAGTGTTCTGCTTGTTCACACTGCCTAATACTGCAAATTAAATTGCATGAAATTATAAACAAAAATTATATGAAAGTTCACATGCAAGCTAGATTACATACTCTAAAATTTAAACTTGTGCTACTAAGTGTCTGTATTCTCTTAAAGGGGCTTAATTTTCCATGAAAGCTGGAAAGCATCTTCAAGATCTTTGGACAGGTTGTATACAAGACTCTAGCTACAGAATTTAATCAATCATGATAAATTCTAACAAATTTTATCAACATTAAAGGCATTCTTAAAAGCCTTTAGAGTTATTTTCACTAATGAATTTTACACATGCTGCATCATTTACTTTGTAATAAGATATATTTGTCTCTATGAGCAGGAAGTGGCACCAGGTAAAGATAATGAATACAGACAGTACATAATTGTGTGCACCTAAGATTTTGAAGTGTAAATGCTTATACTTTAATAACTCTTACAAAAATGAAATTCTTAAAAATCATGGTGCCACAGCAATAACAATTTTATATTCAATTATATTTATCCGAAAAGTAAATTCCCATTTAGTGTTAAACTCAACAGTTCTCAACTATAGGGGGAAAACGTACATTTCATATCTAGTCATGTGAAGTGTGCCTTGAATGACAATTGCTGGTAAACCTTTGGGTTTTTTTTAACCCAAAACTAATTCAAGCATTTTTATGAAGGGCTCAATCAGATCGTGTGGAATTCTAAGTCTTTCACCCCACAATCCTTCAATCAGTGAAAAGTCATCTCCTTGGCAGTAGGATTCAGATAGAGACTGGATATCTTTCCTCACTCACCACCCCCAAGGTAGAAGTACAGATCAACGAACAGGCTTTACAGGTTAAAAGTCTCAAGCTTAAAAAGGGAAGGAAACGAAACGAACGGGGGAAAAAAAAGATAACGATCCCGTGCTGCTGGTTGTACTTCTCTTCCTGTAGCACCCCAAGTGCCTCTACTGCCCAGAAAACTTAACGGTTCCTTGCATGAGTTCCAGGGCCCACGCCACGGTAGAGGCTTCAAGTTCCTCCCCATTTCTAAACTGACACGAACCCTTATCCAACAGGCTAAACAGATGCCCAAGTCAGTGCAAGAAAAACTTCTGCAACACAGACGCAGACCAAAATGCATTCCTATCTTCCCGGAAAGGCAGAGGAAAGGAGGCAGCTAAAAGAAACATATGGATAACTGTTAACTGTGAAGGTGAACATTTAGAGACATGACTGACTACTCCTGCCCACAACACCACTCTTCCTTCTTCCTCCAGCACAGCTGGGGGTGCAAGGATCTCCCCCAGAATGGCCAAGGAAAGAAAAGGTATCACCGCCCCAAGCTGGTGGCACCTTCCAGTCTGACAGAGACCGCAACTCGAGAAGGGGAGCACCGCGGAGAGGACCTGGGGGAGGCAGACAATTCCTTGTGGGGCTGGGGGAACGAGGAGACCTGGTGGACCGGTCTAACGAGGGCGGCCAGAGCCCAGGAGGACCGAGTCTGGCCACAGTCCCGACTCTCTCGGAGGAAGCCAGGGCAAAACCCGCCCCACCCCCTCCTGTTCGCCCCGTCCCGCACGCTTCTGCCCGCGAGGCGCCGGCGGGCGGCCCCGCTTACCTGCTGTACCCCGAGGAACTGGTAGAAGTTGAGCTGCACCTCCTCCACCAAGTCAAACAACTCCAGGTCTCCGCTCTCCCAGCCGCGCGCCGGCCCCGTGGCCGCCAGCAGGAGCAACAGCAGCGGCAGCAGCGGCGGCGGGTACGACACGAACCGGAGCCCGCGGCGCCGAGGCAGCGGGGACAGCCGGGAGCAGGGAGCCGTCATCGCGTTGGGCTCGGAAAGGTCACCCGCCACGCTGTGCAGTCGGCCGAGCCCGGGGACGTGGCGGGCAGCGCGCGCGGGCTGTGTGAACACTGCCCGGCACTCAGAAGCACCGGCAGCCGCACCAGAGCCGTCCGCCCGGAGGCCCGCTCCAGCGGCGGAGCAGGGGCGGCGGGAGCCGGCAGACGCAGCGGCGGGTGGGCGGACTGGGCCGCAGNAACGACACGAACCGGAGCCCGCGGCGCCGAGGCAGCGGGGACAGCCGGGAGCAGGGAGCCGTCATCGCGCTGGGCTCGGAAAGGTCACCCGCCACGCTGTGCAGTCGGCCGAGCCCGGGGACGTGGCGGGCAGCGCGCGCGGGCTGTGCGAACACTGCCCGGCACTCAGAAGCACCGGCAGCCGCACCAGAGCCCTCCGCCCGGAGGCCCGTTCCAGCGGCGGAGCAGGGGAGGCGGGAGCCGGCAGACGCAGCGGCGGGTGGGCGGACTGGGCCGCAGCCGGCTCTTCCTCGCGCGGACCCTCACCCCTCGGCCTACAAACAGCTGGAGAGCCAGCGCCGGGCGCTGAGGTAACAAAGGGGGCGAGGCTTCCCCTCGCTTTAGCCTATCCCAGGCCTCGCTTCCGGTGACATCACGTTTCCTAGCAACCGCAGGGCAGGCAGCGGGGCCGGAAGTAGGGAAGCCGGGCGCCCCAGATCTGGGCCTCCGAGAAAATCCTTTCCGTGGCTGGCGAGCATCGAAGAGCTGTACATGTGTTTGCACAGATTAGGAGACGTGGACGTCACGCATGCACCTGGAACATCCCAAGTATAAATTTCCCCTGAAACAGCTACCTTCTTGCCCTCCCCCAGATACTGAAAACTGAAAGCATATCTAAAAACGATTTTATCGATTATGGACTCTTTTTCAAACACTTCATTATTCCATCAGCAAAAGTATAGGAGGAATTGAACCTAGGGCCTGAAAGGGGCGACTCTAGGGAGTAGTTTGGAGTATCCTTTATGAGCGGTGAAGCAGAAATGGATTCCGACAAAGACAAAAAAGTGTACTTCTGATTATGAATTAAGATTTATAGGTATAATACCATAAAATAGGTAGACTGGTAGAATTAATAATGGTGACTCGATCATAGTCTTAGGGAAGTGTGGTTTAGCCACCTTAGCCCACTTCCTTTCTCAACTAAAGTCTGTTTTTAAAAACATACAGGCTAAAAACCTCCTCTCTTCCCAGCCAATGTCATACCTCCTAGTCTTACATAGCTTCTGCTCAGTCTCTCTCTTTTTTTTCCCTCCACCACTATTCTCTTAGGTGAACTTTATTTTTTTCTTGACCTTCTCACATTTCTCCTCCCTGGATCCCTGCTCTTGTTGAGGAGGTAAAAGGGAGCAAAAAATGCTTGCCCAGTTTTGAAAATTTGACCTTATGTTTTTCCCATTTTGCATCTGCCCAGTTAAATTAAGCTCAACAAAGGAATGATAAAGCTACTTTCACTCTCATAATAAGAATATATTATGTTTGATAAAGGTTAGAAAAACAATATCTAGGAACTAAATCTTACTGGAGAAATCCTATTATTGCAGAGTTTTTAAGATATTTTAAATAGTCATAAATGAATGCAAGTATATCGTGCTTAAAAGTATATATGCTTGAATGAATTACATTTCAAATTCATCATGATGCTTACCTTTCAAAGATAAAAGAGCAGGGGATGTCTTAGTCTGCTAGGGCTGCTATAACAAAAGACCGTAGACTGGATGGCTTAAACAACAGACATGTTATTTCCCACAGTTCTAGAGGCTGGGAAGTCGGAAATTAGGGTACCAGCATGGTGCAATTCTGGTGAGAGCCTTCTTCCTGGTTGCAGATGGCCTTCTTGCTGTACCCCCACATGGTGGGAGACAGGGTGGTGAGGAGAGAGATCTTGTGTTTTCTCTTATAAGGGTACTAATCCCACCATGAGGGCTCCTCCATTAGGATCTCATTTAACCTAATTATCTCCCAAAGGCTCCCCTCCAAATACTATCACACTGGGGATTAGGGTTTCAACACACGAATTTGAGGTAGGGGGGACACAAACATTCAGTCCAAAGCAAGGAGTTATCATCTTTTCTGTGTATCTCCAGTGCCAAGTACAAGGCACAGCACATGGCTAGCTTTCAACTAGTTGAATTGAACCTTGTGAATACTGGCCACCACCATTTCCCCCACTGCATTTTTTTAGCTTGCTTTTTACCGTATCAGTTTTCTTAAAGTAAAAGACATCTTTACCAAGTCTCTAAATTAGCTTACTGTTTATTCAATGAATAAAATATCAAAATAAGATAAAAGTAATAATCTTATAGTTTTTCATAATACCCCAACATTCATATTTTCTCCTAATTTGATCATTGGTTTAAGTGCAATATAACATTTGAAATGTTATATATGGTGCCATATTGCCACAAATCTGGGATTCTTGCCTGATCTTTTAGCAGACGCTCTAGTATTTCCCTCTTGAGCTCTACTCTTATGTCATCCAAGAACCCCAGGGACTTTATCTAAAGGGAATCAGTTTTCTTTTCAAGGCCAAGCTGAAACAGAACTGAAGTCTGTCTGTTCAGTACAGTATTGCTATTGCTTCTCACTGCCATAAGGTATTGCTCTTGAAGCTTCATCCTGCTCAGATCCAATGACACTTGTCTACTCCAAAATGATGTTCTTTTTGTTCTGATCCAGGTCTCTGCAAAGACCACATGATATTCACATTTAGACTTCTAGTTTGACACCTTCACATATTCAGTCATTGTCCCCAAAAAGACAATTGAGTAAATCTTTTGCTGAGGTCTGGATTAAGTGAGCTGACATTTGCCAGCTGTTTTCTTCTCTGGTGACATTTTCTGATTCTGGGCATAGATTGATTGAGCTTGGCCTGGGCAGAGGGACGTTACACAGGAAAAGAGAAACCAGTGAAACGTTCAACAGTCATGTAAGTTGTGTAATGGATGAGAAAGGTAGAGGAACCCCAAACATACAGCCAGCTTTCCCAAAGGACATTTGCTGAACTCTGGAGTAGTACAGGATACTGAAGGACTGGGTCTGATAGGCAGAGCAAAATCCCCTCACATTCTACCAGTGCATGAAAAATCAACTCTACCTAGAGGGAGAAGCCTGCCTCAAATACAAAGGCAGTCATCCCCCTCAAAACATTTGCAATACTGGGCCTGCCGAGTGGCGCGTTGGTTAAGTGTTGGCTTGGGACATCAGCTCTGAGCAGCAGGGTCCCGGTTCAGATCCCACATGTGGGCCAGTGATGCTGTGCCCTCTACAGCTAAGATGGTGAACAACATCTTGACCTGGGCTGCTGTGAGTCGTCAGCAACAGCATAGGCTGCAGCCCCTGTTGCAGTGAGTGGGCTGCTATAAACTACCGTGAGCGGCCGTCCAATGGCAGGCGACTGATCTGCCTCACCTGGGAAAAGCGCAATGATAATATCAACATGGGCCAGTGAAACGACGTCCTCCACAACTAGACTGAAGAACAAAAGGCCAGCAACTTGTCTGTTCCCCTTCCATGATTCCCCAATGCTGTTCCCCTCCCCCAATTTCCCAATAAAATCTTGGAAAAAAACAAAACAAAAACATTTGCAATACTTCTGAAGTTGTGTGAGTAGGAGGCCAAAGATCTGAGTTTAAAACCTCTCAGAGGCATAACTGAATCTCCGGGGCTAAGGAGATAGAAACTTTTCAGGTTTCTATCAAAAGCCCAGAGGAATAACAGCCAAGGAACAGAGTGAAAACAAAAATGGTTTGAATTTTAATAAAACTGCATAACCCAGCTCAGTCTCTGACTCTTACCCTACTTGTCTATTTTCATCTTTAGAGGAAAATAACATCAGCTGTATTCCCTATAAGTTTTTAACATAAAAGTGTGGCATATGATAAAACATTATGAGAGGAGGAAAATTGGATCAATAATCAAGAAAAAATAGATCATAGAAGAATCACAGATAAGCCAGATATTGCAGTCCAGATAAGAACTTTAAGTATTATAAAATAGAGTGATAGATTATAAAATAGAAGGATAAATGGACAATATGACTTAAAAGTGCGGAATTTTAACAGAGAATTGAATCCATAAAAACAATCAATGGAAAAATTTCAAATTGAAAAATATATCTGAAATCAAGAACTTAATGGATGGTTTAATAGCAGACTGAACACAGCAGAACAGGATTAGTGAATTTGAGGACAGGTAAAAAAAAAAAGCACAAACTGAAGCACTGAGAGAAAAAAAAATGGAGAGACAGAATAGAGCTTAAAAGGCATGTAGAACACAATGCATAAATATAGCATATGTATAACTGGAGTCCTAGAAAAAGAGAGAGAATGAGGCAGAAACAATATTTGTCAACATAATGACCAAGAACTTTACAAAACTAACAAAAGACATAAAACCACAGATTAAAAAAATAATTAACACAAAATAGATCATAGACCTAAATGTAAGCACTAAAACTGTAAAACTCTTATAAGGAAAAATAGGAGTTATATGTTAGCCAATGCTTCCTCAGATATGACACCACAAGCATGTGACAAGGGAAAAAATAGATAAGTTGGACTACATAGAAATTAGAAACTTTTGTGGCACAATACCATCAAGAAAGTGAAAAGACAACCAAGAGAATGGGAGAAAAATATTTGTGAATCATACACTTGATAAGAGACTTATATACAGAATATGTAAAAAATTCTTACAATTCAACAACATTTTTTTTTTAATGGGCAAAGGATTTGAATAGATATTTCTTCAAAGAAGATATACAGGTAGCCAACAAGCACATGAAAAGATGCTCAACATCATTACCCATTAGGAAAATGCAAATCAAAACTACAAAGAGATACCACTTCACACCCATTAGAATGGCTATAATCAAAAAGACAATAAAGGGTATCAGTGAAGATGTGGAGAAATTGGAACCCTCAGACTTTGCTGGTGGGAATGCAAAATGATGGAGCCCTTTGGGAAAACAATTTGGCAGTTTCCCAAAACACTAAATATAGAGTTACTATATGACCCAAAAATTCCACTCCTAGGTGGAAAATGAAACAACAAAAATGAAAACATATAGCCACACAAAAACTTGTACACAAATGTTTATAGCAGCATTATTGGTAATAACCAGAGTTGGAAACAACTCAAA